GCAAACCTGCTTTTATTCAATACATTTATAAGTAGAGGATTATGGATGGTAAAGTTTATGTCTGTGCTATTATTATTGGATGGAGTGGGGAAAGGTTGGAGCCCATGTCAGGTTTGTACTGCTATCTCTGTGGCTCCATTAGAGAGATTTCCCCTTTACTTCCTGTCCAGGTGACAACCTTTCTCGGACAGGAAGTGAGGCAAACTTTCCAAACTTTAACAAAGATGGAAATCTAAAGGCTTCCCCTCGCTTCCTGCCCTGCTTAACAACCTTTTGCCAGACACAAAGTGAGGGAAAATCTGCAGCAAAGACACAGACGGAAATTAAATTCTGAGAAGGGTTCTAGCTTTTCCCAGTTTGCAATCTTCTGATGGATCCGGTTATTAGGAGCGGGATTGAACGTATGGAAATTCATTATAGAAATACAGATTTATTTTCCGTTTTACACCATAGAGACCCCTAAGGCCTCATTCACACGAGAAAAGGCCGGCACGTACAGCTCTGTGCTGCGTGCACGGCCGTATTGGGCAGCTCCCGGGAAGGATGGGTGCTGCGTGTGATTAGAACACAGCCCCTGTCCTTCTCTATGGGAGTACGCGGTCGTACGCCGCCCTATGCTCCTCTCCAGTGCAGATCCGTATGGGTGCAGGTGTCCCGGCTCGGACGCAGACAGAATCCATCCTGTCGGCGTACGAGTACGCGCGGACGTGCAGGGCGGGTGAGCGTACGGCGGCCTACGACCGCGTACTCCCATAGAGAAGGACAGGGGCTGCGTTCTAATCACACGCAGCACCCGTCCTTCCCGGGAGCTGCCCGATACGGCCGTGCACGCCGCACAGAGCTGAATGAGGCCTAAATCTTGTGTTGTCCAATTGTTCAAAGAACGAGTTTTGAACTTTGTGTCCTTCTTCTTTCCCGCAGCTCTGGAAGACTCCCGGATATTCTTATTTCTCTGAGGGAAGATGGAGACCGTGGTTTGGGAGTGTGGTTAGCACTTGCGGATCCTGAAGAGGGGAAATATGAACCCGCCTTTAAGAAGGAAGCTGGATGTTCTCTGTCTTCTGACTGCCAGGAATGCGTCGGAGATCCCATTATGATCAATGCGTACTGGAAACACCGCCACCAGAGCCGTCCGTCCATGGGACTGTGGAGGACAGCTAGGATTTGAAGGGCACTATGGTTCTGTGCCGATCCATCATGGCTGCCTACTCCGGCTCCGTCTGGGTACTTCTTGTTCTCGTCCAGGGGGCCATGGGACACAGCCTGTTCGCTTGTGAGCCCATCACTCTAAGAATGTGTCAAGACCTCCCGTACAATACCACCTTCATGCCCAATCTCCTCAACCACTATGACCAGCAGACGGCAGCCCTGGCAATGGAGGTGAGTGTTTGTTTTATTTCCAGCTTGTAGGGGACCTATAGTTTGAGTAAAAACTTCACCCCC